TGTGTGTGTGTTTTCCCGGTGCTTTAAACAGGCTGTCACACTCGTTACCCAACCCTCCTGAGCATGTTATGTCAAGTCAGGTTTCTAGAGTCTTTAGTCACAGTTACACTCAATGCGTTTCCCAACAACTGCCTTATGAGAACAATAACTGAATCAGGTATCATGTACCAGGTGTTATTATGCAATAACTGACTCACGGTAAAGACTGATGATAAATCTTGAATAACATTTCAACAGTTATTTGAGGAGGAAAAAATGTGCACCTGAAAGTGGGCAGATTTTGAATTAAAATTTGAGTACTGAAGATAACTGAAAAGATTTGGTTTGGGTCATTGACGTGCAGTGCTTTGATATTAGTAAACAATTTAAACACATTCACATGAAAATAAAAATAAAAAACAAACCTAATCAGTTTTGGTGGTATTTAGGCTGTCACCTGCTTAGTTATGATTCCGTAGATATTAAATGAGGTAAAAGGCTATTACCTAGCTGAATGTTTATTTTGATCTTTATTTTAACTCATTATTTGCACTTTTTTTGAAAATGTAAAAGAATAGATAAATAAAGGACAGTAACGAATTGGATTAAATGAAAGGATAAAAAGACTAAAAAGTCCAGGCTGAACTTTTAATGTAGGCCAGCACTTTTACCCAGCTAAATGGAAATACTAATTAAATTTCACCTAAAACAAGGCCAGAGATAGATTAGTATTTTTATGACGTGTATTTTTTTAATGTATCTATCGTGTGTATGTTAAATTTCAGTATAATAGTAAGCATGTCCCACCCTGGACGCAGCGACGTGCTCTATCAGTGGTAACAGGCCCCGCCCCGACTATCAGCATCTCCAGTCAGTGGGGAGCAGCTGGGAGTCAGTGTGGAGGAGCAGGAGCAGGTAGCAACGGAGTTCAGCGGCTCCCGCGTTCGTCCGACACTTAGCTAGGGCTGCTCCCCAAGCAGTTGTGGTGATGATGGCGGCGGCTGTAGAGAGAGGGGGCGTCCGTGCCGCTTTCCTGAACCCGAGCAGCGGTGGCGGTGGTGGACCAGCGCCGACGAGCCTCCCGACCGGAGCGTTGGCCGGGGCTGTGGTCCTAGGCTCGGGCTCCGGCAGCATGCCTGTGCCCATGAACCTTTTTGCGACTTGGGAGATAGACCGATCATCTCCAAGCTGCGTCCCGAGGTAACGTTAACATTGGCATGTTAGCGTGAAAATACCACAAATCACAATGTTTGCAAGCCTCCATAACGTTGAATAAATCTTTGGCTAACGTTTGCTTTAACAACGCCCTCGCTGAGTGGAACGTTAGGCAGGACGGACGAGTTGCCTCACATTTCCAAAACACTGTTGGGGAGCTAACTGTCAAGCTAACTAGCAAGGTGGCTAATGCTAAAGCTACCTAGCAAATGTTTTGAAGTTACTATAATGTTTTGTGCTAAATGCACATTTGTTTTGCCACGTTAAGGTGCAGTGCGCCAAAAGTACCAATGTTAAAATTTCCAATTGTATCTTAATAGCTTAGACGAATTAACAAGCCTGTAATAATTTATTAACACTCGGTGTTTTTAATGTATTTCGACCGTTATAACTGGCTAACAAAAGTTCAGCTAACCAGTTCATCTGTTAGACGGATTCTACTAGGTTTCCTTTATGTTCTTTTTATGGTGATGAAGCTTTGCACATAATAAATGTCCGGATAGGCCTGTAGTTGATTAGGTATAAGGAATGCTTGCCACCCAATAGCGGCATAACTATCTATAAATACAGTGGCATGGATGCCGTTCGTCTCATAAGCAACAGACATCCTTTTTATCCTTTTGCAGCCCTATGTGTCATGAGCTGCCTGACCAAACGAGCAGTTCTGCAGCTGCCTGGCGATTTGAAATTCCCAGAATTTTTAAGTTCTTATGCTGTGGGTTGTGTTGTGATTACGTCTCTATAGATCGGAGTCGACTACCCCGTTATAGACAGCAATAAACAGTCACAAACAAAGCGACTCACAGTAATGACGAAACAGCGGATATGACAAGAAATTAAATACTTTTGATTGTTTAATGTTATTGTTTTCCTGTTGCGTTATCAGTTATCTTCTGCGACACTTTGCGTTAGTATTCTTCAGCAGTGAGCAGGCATTGCTGCCACCTGACCAGAAACCTCTCGGGAGCTGTGGGCACATTAATCAGCTTTGACCTAGATCTGCTCCACTCATTGGGATAGAAGTGGGCTTGGAGGGGAGGGTTTCCTCTACAGTCAATGTGCCGTATGTGTGTATATGTGCCTGTGTCTCTATAGTGCCTGCATGAGCATGTATGTACGAACGGAATCATTGCATGTGGGAAAATTCCTGATCTTTCAGATCCCTGTGTGAATGTTGAATATTGTTCTGTTTGGCTGTGATGGTTCAAACGATTTAAAGCCAGCTTGAATGAAAATGAATCGTCTTTGAAGTGACAGCACTGCTTTTAGATTATACAGCTCCCTGCTCTTTTTCATTGTAGTCCTGTTTCTGAAAATGTGATTTCACTATTTATTTAGTTGCTGGACAGGCCACAGCAAATGCTGCACAGTGACTAATGCATGAGATTATTTTGGATAGTTGTATCTGTTAAGTTTTAAGACTGGATTGCAGAAAACAGCATGTTGTGCATTCATACAACACGCAATACTATGTACATTGATTTCCCACGTCTGTCATTACACTGTTCTCTGAAGTGGATGATGTACAAGGCACTGTATCCGAGATGAATATGGGTGAGGATCACAATGAATTATTAATGAGTTTTACAGTGAAGGTACACTGTTACTCGACCCACAGCTTTCTTGTTGATGAATGGGATACTTTGTTAGATCTGATATGTATGGAGAAGAACTTATTAGGCATATTAATTCATGACACAATTATTTATTCAGCCTGAAAAGCCTTATTGTAATTATTGTTATATGCGGTGGCTTTGAGGTATAGTGCTCACAGGCTATTCTGCCTTATGTGCTTTCTGACCGTTTATTGTAAGCTAGTGTGAAAAGTCCTGTATGAAGCCCAACCCAAGGCTTGTTTTGGGGATTCTGCCTTGGCATTCTTTCAGGGGCTGGGCCATGTTGTGTGCAGCTGTTTGCTCTTCAGCTGGCCTTTAGCAAATGTGGGTGTCCAGCTAAGTGGCACGGTTTCAGATGAGGCCACGGGGCTGTTACCAGCTGAGTGTTTTTTATTGTGGTACTCCAAAACATCACGCACAGCTGTTGTTTTCTAATAATTACAACATGGTAAATAATCCTAAGCCCTTCAGCTCCATTGAAAGCCATGCTCAGGAAAGGATGTTTTTGTCAGAATGGAAAACATGTTGTTAGCTTTTATATGCTATTATATTAGCACAGATTTATGGTTTCTAACTGTGGAGATGGATGAAACAAAAATCATATTTTAGAATCTTGCGCTTGTTAAATTCTGGGTATATCCAAATGCAAATAGAGTTTTATTGCAGTGCACCATACAGTATTCTGGCGCCTACCTGTTGGACGTAGTGTTGTGACAGCTCCATCCTTAACAGGCTTGTTGGAATAGTTAGAGAAGCATTGTTTTGATTCCGGCATTGCCATGCCTGCCAGTCTGCCACCCTCCAGTGAAATACAGCGTGCTGTTTATATTGCAGGTTATTTCTTATAAGCTGATAATTTTTCCCCTTGTTTTTCTTGTTTTTATTATTATTGCAGTGGAGGGGGGAAGTGCAGAAGTCTCACCTGTTTTCCCCTCTTAAAAGAATAGACAACTGCTTTGGTGATGTTGCAGATTTACCAAAGACAGCTGAGGGACATAATACCCACATTATTCATCTTCATGTAACCTGCTTACTGGACACATTTAAGTGTCTCATTGATATTTTGGGAAATTGTGCTGAATATACAGTTATGCATGTAAAACTAAGCTTTTAAAAAACGGGGTATTTTTGTACTAGAGTAGATTTAAAAAATAATTTAGTCAGTGCTCTGCATGGTGGATGATGTGCTTTCTTAGCTGTTTTGACCCTAACAGTTTTGGTAGAGTGGTTTTATTTTTACCAATCCTTTCCCCTTTATTTAAGCATACGAGAATAATAAAGAGACAGGTGTAGCTGCGGTTACACAGCAGAACTAAAGAAGTTTAGTGGCCTGTTCAAAAATCCAGCTGAGCTGTCTACAGGCAAGAATTTGTTGAGGTAATGATGTGGTATTTGCAGGAATGGCACTAATGCGACGGTCAAAATATGGTCCTGTGTTTATCTTATTTTGATAAAGAATTTTCAGCAGGATGAGAGCATTGGCTTCTTGCCAAGTTCAAAATAGAGGACTTTTTCATAAACATCTGCACTGATAAAACCCTAAAAGAGCTGAAAATATACTACCTGAGACTAAACCAAGCCCAGACATTATTTGAAAAGTGGCACCTAGCTCAAATCTGTTGCAACATCATCTCTACACACGAACAAGCAGCGTGCTAATGTGTCCATAAAAGCTCTCCAACCTCCATTGTGTCCAAAGCTTTATGTGCATTATGAAGCTATAACTAACTTGCTTTCAAGCTGACAATTTGTCTGCTTTCAGAGTAAACATCATCCTCTTTGGGTTGCTAAATGGAAAATGTTTTGTAGATCTGAAAATGTTGGCGTGCCATGGATTTTCTTTTTTAAATCCTCTGTGTATAAAGATCCCTCTATTACATTTCTCTGGACTCAGAGAAGTGAATACATCTCAGTTAGCTCGCAAGCTACGAAAAAACGTCTTCCTCTTCCCGTCTGATGTTTATCTCTGCCGAGTAGTGCGTCCTTCTTTCTGTCTGTGTGATTCATGTGAGTCCCAAGATGGCTTTACTCTCTCATGAGCGGCAGAGCCTTATCTTGATAGTAATTGAGTGTACTTTGCAGACTCTGGTCAGATGTTTGTATCTTCTGCCTCAATCTGTAGTGTATCAAACAGATTTGTGTTGTGTATGGCAGATATAGATGATAAACGAAAACAAACCCGGGCTCAAGTAGAGCAACGTTATTGTGTCATGTTTGTTCTGGGTCAGCAGAGATGAAGCCATCAGCAAGACATTTTTTACTTATCCCTTATGCCTTTATGCTGTGATGCATAAGGGATATGTAAAAATATCCCTCATGCATAACTGTTAGCGTGCAGTTTCTAGTATCATCCATGGCCTTAATCTCTTAGATTTATTTTTGAGTTTTCTGTAAATTCAGTGATTAACCCTTTGCTGAGACCATTAAATCTGGGTACAAGTAAAGAACGCCTGACTGTCAGATAATATGATCTAAATTCACCCTTTCACCTCCTCAATAAGTGTTTCATCTCAAGGCATGGGTATTGTTTCTCTTAGCAGGGGAGCTGCTGTAATCTGATTTCATAACAGGAAAAGAGGAGCTAGTAATCTCATGCCGCACACACACTGTCTGCTTAATCCTCTGCTTCCTTTTGGAATCATATACATCAGCCGCCTCCAGTGCCCTTCAGGATTGTGACACAGTCGCCACATCTGTTTGCACCATGTTTACAATCGTTGTTTGACACCTGATGCTAAATGGTATATGGTATTTTGAATGATTTAAATGAAGCAAGCTTTTAGGCTGAGGAATCATCCCCAAAGAGCATGTTGTTAATGCTCTGTTACAGAAGCAACATTTGACTTCATGGCATGATACTTGGCAAGATGCCCATGCAAAATATAAACAACTCAGAACAAAGGTGCATTTAGAGGGATGACAGCTCTATTTTTAAAACAGATACTGAAAGTGACAATATTGCAAATGTAACTGGATCGTGACGTTTTTATTTTTCTTGTTAGAGAAATAAGAATCCATAATGTGGCTTTCTTTTAAGACATGTTTCATATTTTAGTCACATTAATAGTTAAACTAGTTCCCTTTTGTTTTATCATGTCTTCAAATAAGATTTCAACTTGGCTCCATGCTGTCCATGCTGTTCACACACTTTGCTGACAGAAGACCAATCAGCACCTTCACGCCCCTCTTTTTCGTGCTTACTCCCACTGCTTGATATGTGTCAAAATTCTCTTGGTTTCCTTCCCTGCTTTCCTGGAGGAGGAGGAATTTCCTTGGGAAACATTCCACATTCCTGGCAACTAGAGAGCTGCTGGTGCAACTGAAATCAGCCTCCTTCAGTCTGGTTTCAGTACCCTTCTCCCTTCCGTT